GCTGCTCTTCGCCTGGAAGAGCGCATCCTTGGGGTGGTCGCAGCGGTATTCGTATTTGTTTGTTCCCCCCCAGAGCTCCCCGCGCTTCTTTTGGCCCGCTCCTCTTCGTCATTCTCCTCATCGTCGTCGTCTTCCTCCTACTCCTCCTGCATCCCTGCCTCCCTCACTCCCTTAATCCCTCCCTCCTCCCTCCCTCCTTGCCGTCTTCATCCTCCGCGTTCTCATCCTCGTTCCTGTTCTTGCTGTCCTTATCTTCGTTCTCGTCCTCGTGTCAGTCTTGGTTCCCGTGTTTGTTCAGGTGGGAGCCATTGTCCTCCTCGTACTCGACCCTCTCCAACTTCTCGCCTTACTCATGCTCTTGCCACAGCTCCTTAGCCCCTTCATCTCGTCGTTATCCTTCCCTTTGCCCCTGCCTTTGTTCTCTTCCTCGTCATTTTGGATGTTCTCATTTGTCCCCGTCATCGTGCTTGTCCTCGTACTCGTCGTCGCCATCTCCTTTTCGCCATTACATTTAATATGGCCTTTGGCCCATCTGCCACCGTACCTCAATTGCGGGGCAGAGTAGTGTGCGTTGCCTGTCGCGATTTATTTCCCAACCCTCCTGCGTTGGGTTCTCGTTTTGAATAGAGCACTGCTCGCGCATCTCCTTCCTTCCTTCCCGTCCCTCTCTTCCCCCCTGCCTTTTGCCTCGCCATCCCTGGGGGGCTGCGATCTGTGAAACTGTCGCCACTTTCGAGGCCTGCTGGGGGGCCCAGCACAGTGGGTACCCACCGCAGACTCAAATGGGACCTCGCCATCCCTGGGGGGGCTGCGGTCTGTGAAACTGTCGCCACTTTCGAGGCCTGCTGGGGGGCCCAGCACAGTGGGTACCCACCGCAGACTCAAATGGGACCTCGCCATCCCTGGGGGGCTGCGATCTGTGAAACTGTCGCCACTTTCGAGGCCTGCTGGGGGGCCCAGCACAGTGGGTACCCACCGCAGACTCAAATGGGACCTCGCCATCCCTGGGGGGCTGCGATCTGTGAAACTGTCGCCACTTTCGAGGCCTGCTGGCTGGGTACTCACAAACTGTCGCCACTTTCGAGGGGGGGCTGCGATCTGTGAAACTGTCGCCACTTTCGAGGCCTGCTGGGGGGCCCAGCACAGTGGGTACCCACCGCAGATTCAAATTAGACCTCGCCATCCCTGGGGGGCTGCGATCTGTGAAACTGTCGCCACTTTCGAGGCCTGCTGGGGGGCCCAGCACAGTGACCCACCGCAGATTCAAATTAGACCTCGCCATCCCTGGGGGGCTGCGATCTGTGAAACTGTCGCCACTTTCGAGGCCTGCTGGGGGGCCCAGCACAGTGGGTACCCACGGCAGACTCAAATGGGACCTCGCCATCCCTGGGGGGCTGCGATCTGTGAAACTGTCGCCACTTTCGAGGCCTGCTGGGGGGCCCAGCACAGTGGGTACCCACCGCAGACTCAAATGGGACCTCGCCATCCCTGGGGGGCTGCGATCTGTGAAACTGTCGCCACTTTCGAGGCTGCTGGGGGGCCCAGCACAGTGGGGCCACGGGCAGATCAAATTAGACCTCGCCATCCCTGGGGGGCTGCGATCTGTGAAACTGTCGCCACTTTCGAGGCCTGCTGGGGGGCCCAGCACAGTGGGTACCCACCGCAGGATCAAATTAGACCTCGCCATCCCTGGGGGGCTGCGATCTGTGAAACTGTCGCCACTTTCGAGGCTGCTGGGGGGCCCAGCACAGTGGGTACCCACCGCAGATTCAAATTAGACCTCGCCATCCCTGGGGGGCTGCGATCTGTGAAACTGTCGCCACTTTCGAGGCCTGCTGAGGGGCCCAGCACAGTGGGCTTCCCGCACGTCTTTCTCCTGCTCTTCGTTCCCGACTCCCCATGTCCTCTTCGAGCCTGTAGCTGTCGCCCCTCTTTCTTGTATGGTTCTCCTGCGCATCATGCCATAGGCGCGTGTCCCAAGTAGCTTACATATCAAACAACGGATCCTGCAATTTGATTGTCCATGCAAGTTTCGGCCAACTCCTCGTTTCCCATGATACAAATGGGTTGGGTACGTCACAGGGTAATTGGTGGTTCCTCGGGCTTTTTTCTTATCCGATTATGTGACTCAAGCGGCACCTGAGTGGCACCATTCGGGAAGCCTCTGGGGGAGCCTCTTGAAGGAAATCGTCAGGCCTGTTGGGGGCTGTTGGGCCGTGGTGTGGCCCTCTTGGGCCGGCTTTGGGGCCCTCTTGGGCCGTCTTGAGCGCCTCTCGGGCCGTCTTGCGGCACTCTTTGGGGCGTCTTGGAACGCGCTCGGGGGGCCCCCGGGGCCGTCTTGCAGCCCTCTCGGGAGCCTCTTGGGCGTCGGGAGCTAAAACAAAATTATCCTGGCGAAGGGCCCAGCCATACGCAGTTGTGAGCACCGCAATCGTGAATTTCTTCTTCGGTGGCGCTCCCTGTGGGGCTACGAAGCGCATCAGGGGTGCGCCGAAATTTCTGGCGTGGTGCACAACACGAACGAAGACGATAGATCTGAGCACGAGAGACTGAGGGCGGGTGAGTCTCAGCGCGAGCGAGTCTGATTGTGAATGAATCTGCGTGCGATTAAGTCTGTTTGCATGAATGCGAGCATGTATACGCCTAGTGTACACATATAACAGGGGACCGGGGTCCAGGCCCCCGGGGCCGCGACCTCTACCAAGTGTGCGCGTATGTGTGTGTGTGTGTGTGTGTGTGTGTGTGTGTGTGTGTGTGTGCAGGCCCTCGGGGGGCCCCAGAGGCCCACAAAACGCCACCAGAAAGCGCCAAGAGAGCCCGAAGACGCGCCAAGAGGGACCCGCGACGCCCACAGGCAAGGCCGCTTCAAGACGCACAGGCTGCTCCGAGACGCACAAGATGGCCCCCAACACCCCAAGAGGCCTCCCAGACGCTTCCTGTGACGCTCCCAGAGACCCCCCAGAAGGGCCCCAAGAGGCAAAATTAGCTCCATTCCCTTAGGGGAACGTGTATTTTTCGCATCTGTACCTCTTTGGCTTTCACAGCGTCCAAGACGGCCCAGGAGGCCCCCAAGTCTGTCCCACAGGATCCCAGGAGGGTGCCACAATGGGTGCGATGGGGTCATGCGAACGCTGGAATTCGGGCCTTCGGTGGGGCTCTCTGTGGGGCCACGACACGTGTGAGGGGTGTGCCAAAATTGTTGCCTGGCTCGGAGGGCAGAGGCAGGGATCGGAGAAGGAAAAGGAGGTAGGAGGGGGAGGAGGAAGGAAGGAAAACGCGGGGCACTGTCTCTTCAAATCGAGGACCCCCAAGACGACCCGAGAGGCCCCCAAGACAGCCCAAGAGAGCCCCAGGATGAGCCCCGGAGGGGTCCCAGAGGTGGAAAACCATATTCAAATTCCGAGCTTTCGGTCCCAGAGGCTCCCAGGAGGCCCCAAGAGGCAAAATGTCTTCCATTCCCTTAGGGGAACGTGTATTTTTCGCATCTGTACCTCTTTGGCTTTCACAGCGTCCAAGACGGCCCAGGAGGCCCCCAAGACTGCCCCACAGGATCCCAAGAGGGCTCCAAGACGACCCCAAGAGGGTCCCAAGACGACCCGAGAGGCCCCCAAGACAGCCCAAGAGAGCCCCAGGACGAGCCCCGGAGGGGTCCCAGAGGTGGAAAACCATATTCAAATTCCGAGCTTTCGGCCCCAGAGGCTCCCAGGAGGGCCCAAGAGGTCCCCTGGAGGCCCCACGAGGCCCCCAAGAGGCCCCAAGAGGCCCCAAGAGACCCCCGGGAGGCTCCCAAGAGGCCTCCAGGAGGCCCCCAGGAGGGCCCCAAGAGGCTCCCAAACTGCCTCGAAGACGCCCTTGAGAGGCATCTAAGATGCCTTCAAGCCGCCCCCCCCAAGAGGGCCCACACGGCCTTCTGGTGGAAGTTTCGGAGGTTACTCGGTGACTGTTCGTCGACAGTGGATCTCTCAAGGTTTTTCGCCGTTTTCAAGCTCTGGACGACGACAACGCCGACGGCGACGGCGACGGCGACGACGACAACGACAACGACAAAGACGTCCACGACGCCGGAGGCGGCGGCGGCGACGGCTGCGCCAACGACGACGACGAAGACGACGACGACAACGGCGGCGGCGGCGGCAGCGGCGACGGGCTCGGGGCCCGGGGGCCACGACCCCTACCACAAATGTATGGCCCTGGGGCCCGGCCAGACCTTGGGGGGCCTCGGAGGGCCGTCCGACGAGCGTCACGGCGGCCCCAGCCAGCCGCCCACCACCCTGCAGACGGTTTCGACGGATCACGGGACGTCTCCAACGGCCCTAGAGGCTTCGAAACCGCATCATAAGCCGTGCAATTGACCCCCCACGAGGGCCCCGAGAGGCAAAAATAGCCCCATTCCTTTTCTAAACCGTACATTTTTGCCGTATTCGTGTTTTCCGTCTTCGCACCATCCTTGACGACCTCAGGGCTCCTAAGATCGCCCCTACACGGCCCAAGAGGCTCCCCAGAGGGCGCCAAGACGGCCCAAGAGGGTCCCAGGTTGGTCCCAGAGGCACCCAAGACGGCCCCAACGGCCTCCCAGAGGGCTCCAAGAGCAGCCCAAGATGGGGCAATCCAACTTCCGTAGCCATTTTGGCTCTAGCCATTTTGGCTCAAGACGTGTTTCTGCCTCAATTGCAACAGCGTAGTGAGCGCCCTGCGCAGTACACGCCACGCACCGCAAGGATGTCGAGCCTCGCAGGCGCCCACCTCCCGGCCGTCAGCAACCAGTTTCCGCGACCAGGGCCGGCGCTGGCGTGGGCGGAGGCATCCAGCGCAGCGCCCGCACCGAGGCCACCTTCGCACCCCAGGACGGCCCGCGGGCGCCCCGGCGTGGGCGAGCGGCTCCAGCGCCCCCCTCTGCGCAGACCGCTCGGCGGTCACGGCAGGGCCACGCCGGGCTCCGACGTCCTCGTCCGCGGCAGGATCCGTAGGCCCCTGGGGCTTCGTCCTCCCGAGCCTCGAGCTCAAAGGGCTTTCAAGCACCTTCCCGAGGTGGAGAAGTTCGTCACGGGGATCTCCGATCCTCGCCCCGGCAACGGCACGCCCAGCTGGCACGCTGCGGAGGAGTTCACGGCGCCCGGGCCGTGGCCCAGAATGGAGCTGGCCGGCAGCTCGGCAGCGAGCGACCACACGAGCGACACCGAGTCGACCTCAGACCTCTTCGCGATGTCCCCAGAGCTCTCCGCGGCGGCCACGGGACTCCGTCTGCCCAGCGCCGTCGCCGGCGAGGCCGATCGGCCCCCCACCTGGCCGGGCGTCGTCCGCCCCACCGGCGAGCCCTTCCCGCCAAGCGCGCCGCCCGACCTCGACGGCCGCAGGAGGGCCCCGTGCGGCACAGGCCCGGGTCCGCGCGGCGGCGTGCCGGCCGGGCTGCCCCCACTGCCGCGGGGGGAGGCGCCCGCGCGGTGCCGCCCCAGCATGGCCGGCAGGTCGCTGTCGGCGAGGGGCAGCGGGCTTCCGCGCCACGCGGCTCGGGCAGCTGCTGGGGACGAGGAGCTCTGTACAGCGTCAGGGGAGCGTCAAGATTCGTGGCGTTGATACGTGCCAAGACGTCCAGGCGTTCCAAGATCCCTCCTCCCCACGGCCTGCAGAAGCGGGGGCCGCTGGACATCCGTGGAGATCCTGGGGCGCATCCTGAGCCAGTCCTGTCATGGTGGCATCGTTCTCGTGCTGAGGTTGGCGAGCAGCTGGGCGGAGTCCGAGGCCGCGGTGGTCTACAGAAGGCAACCGGGAGTGCATTGTTTTGCCCCGTGGGCCCGGAGTGGGCATGTTTGCTTGTCGGACATCGCGTGAGGCATCAAGTCGATTGAGATTTTCCTTCGTTACCAAGATTGCTAGCTATTCGTTCCTTCCTTTTCCTTTGATCAATTCAATTCGACAGCTAGACTAGCGTGTCATGCCAGGGTATCGCCCCCTCATCTGGATTTTTAATCCCCTGACGACTGGCTGCCATGCCGACCCGGCGGCGATTTCGCGGACGCCTCCCGCTCAACATTGCAATTGTTTAAAACATTGAATGAGCAATTGAATTTTTCAGCGGGACTGAGAATTGCCCGCCAAGTCGTGCAACACTTTGCCTTTGAGGCGACTTTGCCACAGAGGCATCAGGGAGCCTCTGGCCATACAGTCTCTGCTAGCAGGAGAGTGCTTTTTTGGGTGGGATGGAGCGTTGCCGAGAGCGGCGCTGCTGTGTGCAAGACCCGAAGCACAGGGGGTGCACAGACACAGTTCCTCAACACATCCGTACGTATCCGTTGAGATTTACGACGTTCATAGTTGGAGGGCGTCGTTCAAGAAGCGGGGGATCCGCTTCTTGAAGTGCTTCTGAGTTCGCTACACATTACCTGGGCGCTCTCTCGAGACTGTGCGTGCCGCGCGCCCAATAGCCCCACTCCCCGGGCGGCGCCATCGGCGTCCAGGTGATCGAACACTCCATGGTACGATGCCATCTGGTCTGTCTTGCGGGGCGGGGATGAGGAAGGACGGGGGGAGGGGGAGGAGGCATGATGAGACGGGACGAGACGCAGGATGGGGAGGAGGTTGCTGTGTGCGGGCCTGGCGAGCCATCTAATTGAGTCAGACAAAAGCAGACGCATATGAGTCCGAGCCCTCTTCGGAGTGAACTGGACGGACGCGTCGTGGCCTCTCCTCTGGCACGGACCAGGGAGAGGCCGGCCTTTTCAAGGCCAAGAGAACGCAGAACAGGATGAGCAGGAGGAGTGGGGTGAAGGGACCCCAAGACACACATAAATAGACGCAAATCCCAAGATTCACCATATTTCCATGTGTTCTGGATGCTCGTCTCCCCCTCCACTGCCCCCCATGTTTTCCGCATGCGTGCTGTTGGAATAGGCCGATTTGGCCAAGGGCCCGCTTGCCGGTCCGAGCAGCGCCTCGCGCGGCGCTGTTCTCACCGCGGGGCAGAATTTGTTTGAAGAGACGACGCGGCCAGGGCAGCCTTTTGGCGGGCAACCAGTCGTTGCCAAGCCGCTCGAGCAGAGATTGCGTTCGAGCCTGTCCTCGCGTGCGCTACATAATTTAAAGGCTGCCGCCTCTGCCGCCGACCCCAAATAAATGCATGTATTGTTTGTGCGTTGCGTCGGTTGGGGGGAGACCTCCCTCTCCCAAATCCCTCGTACTGGGCTCCTGAGGGAAGGGGTTGCTGAGGTGGCATCATTTCACACGCCGACGGAGTTCAGGAGGAATCTTGGGCCTTCTTGGAGCCGTCTTGAGGTCGCAGAAGCCTGTCGTCATGCGATCTTGGAGTCTTTCGGAGGCTTTCGCTTGCTCTCTTGAGCCATGTTGTGCTTCCTTGAGCCATCTTGGACGTCATCCCGGGCTGGGGTTCATCTTGGGCTCGCTGAGGCCCTCTTGGAGCCATGTTGGGTCCTCTTAGGCGCCCCATCCCTCGCGACGCGCGCCGAAAAGCTAAACTCGTCCCCGAAGGGGAAGCGGGCGGTTGCCAAAGGAATCTCTCGAAACCACCTACGCTCAAAGGGGCTTGAGGGACCACCTGTGGGCTTGGTCGGGGCTTCTTTGGGATGCTCCTTGGGGGCTTATTCGGGCCCTGCTCTGGGCCGGTTCGGGGGACAATCGAGCAGAGAAAAGGCTGGGCTCGAGTAAGCCCTCCCCTTGTCGGAGCCCCCGAATCCCTTGCCTTAAAACTTCTCTCCCTCTCCTTCGCCCGCCCCTTCCTGGAGATCTTCGGAAGTCCATCGAGCAGGTTCGGGGGGCGTCCAGGCACCGTTGAAGCAAAAATCTGAGGGCGCCGGGGCGGCGACGCGAGGTGGTCATCATGAGAATGTAGGGCCTGTGACAGGGATCGGCCTCTCAAAGTACACGCCTTTCCAGAGACCCAGGGCGTTTTCTAGAAGGCTCCCCCGAGCGCCGCGCCCCCTGCCATTGGCATCAGACGTCGTGCGGGAATCGGAGCGTCGTGGGGAAATCACGGCGGGACAGGGTCGGGGGTTCCTAGAACAGAGTCTAGAGGCTTGGGGATGTCGAGGGGGGGTGGAGGCGAGGTGGGGGGCGAGGTGGGGGGTATCGGTCGTTTTTGGGCGAGAAATCGTGGGGTCGGGGGTTCCTAGAACAGAGTCTAGAGGCTTGGGGATGTCGAGGGGGGGTGGAGGCGAGGTGGGGGGCGAGGTGGGGGGTATCGGTCGTTTTTGGGCGAGAAATCGTGGGGTCGGGGGTTCCTAGAACAGAGTCTAGAGGCTTGGGGATGTCGAGGGGGGGTGGAGGCGAGGTGGGGGGCGAGATGGGGGGTATCGGTCGTTTTTGGGCGAGAAATCGTGGGGTCGGGGGTTCCTAGAACAGAGTCCAGAGGCTTGGGGATGTCGAGGGGGGGTGGAGGCGAGGTGGGGGGCGAGGTGGGGGGTATCGGTCGTTTTTGGGCGA